GCCGGCTCGGCCCCACTTGAATCTGCCACTGATTATTATGGTGTCATTGCGAGACTGCGTCAACGTAACACTGGAGTTTGTAAACTTTTGGTAGGCTTATCACTTAATCGAAATAGGTAGACATCATATCCGTGAAATTAGAAAAAACAGTAATCATATGTATGTAGATAATATTAAACACTAGTATATACGTAGGGGTCATAATAATATACAAAAAGAATAAATCGTTTATATTAGAAATTGTGCACTTTTGAGTTTGTAAAAATATTGGCCTAATAAGGATACATGCTTCCAATTTCAACAACATTCAGTACATTGTTTTCACAATACATTTAGCCTCTGATAGTCGTTGCACCCATAAAATCGATCTAGTGGGTTTCTGAGATGGTTACAAAATGTTTAAACAATTGCGTTTTTAGGCTACTTGGTTTTGGTCCGGAAAATACGTACCGCACTTAGAAAGTGAACAGACAAAATTCATGAGTCATGCGTAATTGTTATTATTTCCATCCGCTTGTAAAAGTGGGGTTTTAATTATAGAAGATTGGTGAAAAGTGGGGGGGGGGGGGGACAATCGATACCATTTTCCTCCCCCACTTTGAAAAGTAGGCAAAAGCAGCTTTCTTAGCTACGTTTTTTGTCCGCTGATCGGTTAAAAAACGTATTTCATTTTTATTTTATCACTGAAAAACAACTACTGTAAAATATTTAGCCCATAAATATGATGTGTTTGAAGAAAACATTAAACAATATTTTAATTTGGACCTTCAAAAGGCAGTTCAAAAGAAATGGCTATGAAATTTTAGGGGGGGGGGGGCTAAAGCCTGTTAATCCCCCTGTAAATCCGCCCCTGATGAGAATTCTCAATATTAAGTTTTGAAGTACATGAAAACGTCATAGTAATTGAGGCTTTCACATAAATCTTTACAATTTAGTTCACTATATGCCTACTATTACAGGCCTAATGCTAGAACAGAACAAGTTGATTGACTGCAACTTTGCGCACATGGTAAAATGTTCCTGCATATTCGGGTGAACTGTTCCAACAATGGTCGAACATATTACTCTGTTTGTTGATATTTTTTAATATAATATTATCAATAATAATAATAATAATAATAATAATAATAATAATAATAATAATAATAATAATAATAATAATAATAATAATAATAATAATAATAATAATAATAATAATAATAATGTCAATTATAATAATATAACTTCGGATTCTCATTTGTTCCTTGTTTCGTGCTTTTTGAACCCGATTGTTTGTTTATTGTCATTTTCCAACGTTTAGATATTAAATTAGATTTTAAAACAATTTCTGTGTATATACAATTCAAATGATTTTATTTTATTTGTGAATAAAAGTATATTGTATCGTATTGTATATACACAGAACATTTTTCTCTTTTGTGTTGTAACCACCATTTTTATTAATCAATGCATCAATTACAATAGATTGTTACAGTATAATGCATTACTGAAAAAATGTTTCGATAAATTACCCTTTTCCTGATTTTCTTTTTTTTACACTTCTCATCAATTCGCACATACAAAAAATAAAATAACGGAAATGCAATTGTATAACTATATTAAAATCATATCAAGTTCCGGTTTGCAATCAAATATTTTAAATAAAATTCGCTTTTAAATTTAAAAACAGGTTTATTCACAATGACAGCGCAAGCGAAAATTTATATAATTTCAATGAAACAGCAAAATATGAAACCAGAGGTAGGCCTATACCGTTCATTATCTGATTTTGTAAATTTAAATATCATAAAATATAATTAATTAATATTAATTTAGATTTAATTCGACCAGTTGTAACTTGTTTTCTCTTCTTTATTTTTACATAAAAATATATTACGCCTAATTATTTTATGCTACCTCAGTATTTTTAATTTAAGTTTTATTTTATTTTTGGAATATAAGGACAGTATAATATACAACGTCATTTTCATCTTATTTTGTAACTAAATAACTGATATGGTATTGCTTATTATTATAAACATAATTGTTGTCTCATAGTTTCTTAAAAGGTAAATTGTCTTTCATTGTAAAACCTTTCTAAAATTGTAGATAAAGACGTACGGTATTCAATATCGTGCTTTAGAATTTTAATGGCAATACAGTACTTGCAGTATTTGGCCAATTGTGCTTGAAAGACGGTATATCTAAACATATGCTACTACTGGCTCGTTTTTAGAGGGATGGTCGGCCACGTCCGGACAGCTCCCTAAGACTTTATAAGAGTGCTTTTTTTGCGACCAAATAGTTATGGTAAAAAAAAACCAGCGGCTTTTTTTTTCTTTTGGTGGTCCTAAGTTCATAATGAGAATAATTTCAGGGTAATCTAATATTGTTTTTTCTTTCAATATCTCAAACGATGGGAAGGTGACACGAGAAGGAAGACAGTTCCCCACATCATTTAAACTTACGTAATCTTTTTTCTTTCTAGACTCCCTCCTGCAAATATCTGGTCGTATTCTGGATTTCCAAAATTTTCAGAAATTGCCTGAATATGTACAAACACTATTGTACATATACCTGACAGTTTGCTGAAGAGCTGGATATTAACAAAAATTCCCCACCGCAAGATAGTTTCAATATTTCAATAAATTGCATAGGACAGGAGAAAATCCATCATTTTTCAAATGAGGTAGTCTGCTTGATGATGCCAGAGGCCCGTAGCAAGGGTTGTGGGGCGGGTGTTGGGCTAGGGAGGGGGAGTGCAATGGGGAGTCCAACTGAGTAGGCCTATAACTTTTGTTATTTTCAGTAGCCTAATAAATGTGAAATCTTAAATCATTTAGGCCTAACCAGTACCATCGGAACCCGTATAAAAGACCCAAACCGGCTCTTCCTTGTCTCTCTGTGAGAGGTTGGTTCCAAGCGACCACCCCGGCAATCCTTGCTC